CATCATGTCTGTCACCTATTCTTTGTAAAACAAATATTTATCTAAATGCATTTCTTCCTTCTGCTGTAAACAATTGGAATTCTCTTCCATTACATATTAGAAATAACCCTTCCATTTTCCATTTAAAAGCTTTCTGAAATCTAATAATAAATCATGTCCACCTTCATACTACTTTCAGGGTTCACGTCTGGGTCAAATCTAACACGCAAGACTGTGTATGTCATATAGCTCCCTAAAAGAACACTTGTTTACGAAAAACATCATACCATCCCCGAATTGTTCCTGCGGTGCCATTGAGAACTCAACACATTATTTGCTAAAATGTAATAAATATACAGCACTTAGACAGCTTCATATTCTGAGTTTGCCCTATCAACTATAAACTAATCTTTTAATCTTTGGTGATGACTCTCTAACCCATCAAGATAACACTACGATTTTTCTAGCCGTCCAAAATTATATACTCAAAACTAAAAGATTTCAAATAAACGAATAGTCCTTAACAATTTCATTTTGACATATATATATATATATATGTATGTTGTGTTGCATTCGTTTTACTACTATGTTTTAAAATGTATTTGGACTTATATGCTTATTCAGTGATTTTGCCATTGCATTTCTTTATACCATATTATGTCACTAACTCGCCATGATTATGATTGTTTGATAAAAGTGATGTGTTACCTTGAAAGAGCAGGACGTACCAGGGACGAGGCGGGAAAGTGTTTTATGGACTTATATTTGATAAGTGTGATGGCTAGTATGTGAACTGCAACGTTTTTAATAATCATGGCGGTGCTTTGTGACATACTAATTTTGTCAATAGTTGATTTAGTGGTGATTTATTCTATGTAACTTGTATATACATTTTAACCTTTTTCGAGTGTCCACTTACAGGACTGCTGACATTTTCATCTACTATTCCATTGTTATATTTTACAGAATCGTGTTCCACATACTCATCGCAATAGAGCAATATGATATTACCATCTGATGATCATATGTATATTGATATGTTATTCATTCCTGGTTTCCACTGCATACCAATCCACTACCCCCTCCCCTATTCCCGTAATTATTCTATTGTACATATTACTTCATTCTTGTAGCTAGTGTTGAAAAGCTGATTACTAAGCAGGTAACAAATTTACATAAGTGTCACGACACTTGTTTTTGTTTCCTTTTCTGTTTTATAAAACATGTATTTCGATGTATTGTCAAACAAAATTTGAATAAAACAAAGTTTAAACAACTCCCTTCTATAACCAAACGATACGGATAGCTCAACTTTAACACGTTTATCTAGAAGTCTTTAAAGAAAATAACAAATAAGAATTGTCTTCAAAAGATTATTACAATAATGGTAAACGTGATTAGTATAAACTAAACCTGAAAGTTGAGAACTTAAATAATGATAATCACACGTTCCACAGTTCATCCGTAAAGCTGTCAATGTGGACTCTATCAGCTGAATGACTTACACTGAAGCTTAAAACAGTCATTCAATAAAAGCCCAAACAGAACAAAATGCAGGTCATGAGGTCACAATGACCGCCATCAGACAGTAGATAGAGAAACCCTCTTGTCACACCACAGCCTTTCTGGACCTCACGTGTCCGTAGCTAATGAAGTTTGGTAGAACTACGTCCTGTGGCAGGCCCACGTAGCATGTAAAGCTCTTAACGTTCCATTAATGTATAAGTGTAAACGCGATACAAAATGAATTTAAATGGGATTCAATTACATGGGTTTTAAATTGTATGGCTGTACGTGTTCTTAGCATTGTATTCGAATTTTCAATAGAAAGTGTTTCCGGTCAATATTTTCTATCTAAATGGTGCCGTTGACTAGCTAAGTCTTTCATTCTTTTTTTCTTTATTATCATGTTTTATAAAATCATCTTAATCCAGCTATTCAAATATTTGGCTAGCTTATTTTAAAGTGCAAAATTAATGTTGCGGGCAGTTTTGTATATATATATATATATATATACGTTTATTTATACGGTAATGTGTACTGTGTCGGTTTGTCAGCCATATAAACATATACGACGATTTTAACAGTAGAAACACACAGGACATTAAGTGGTTTATATCGCTGGACTTCGAGGTTAGTAAATGGACATACTTTTTTTTTTACTCTTTATAACACATTTTGGCTACTTGTCAGAGATCAGATCATACAAAAGTGGTTTAACGGGAAAATAGGTAGGTACATCGTATGCTGAGTCGAAATGTCTATATTCAGGCGGTAAAGAGGCATCATATTCAATCTAGTCTAAGTCGTAAGGGTGTGAACGTGTGATACTGGTGTGCTTTGGTAATTTCAATTTCGACATCGCTATTATCTAGATAAAAGTCGTATGTATGATTTTTAACTGCATTAAGCAAAAAGAACGGGTAGTTTAGAGTAGACACATGATGTAGTAGAATAATCTTTGTTATATGTTTCGTAAACTATTTTTATCTAGACATTATTGAGTATGATAACCTATATATACACAGTGTAAATATATTACTGGCTGGTAGCTGGCACATCTGGCGTCCTGCGTAATTAACCATTACCAGATAATGACCTGTTATCTAAAGATCTGAACACATCTGTTGGTGTCGCCCGTCAGTCTTAGTTGTGTATTCAACCCTCCACGAATCTCTACGTAAAATGCATGATAAAATAAATCCCTGGAGTTACCTTACCGGCACGATTCTCTAATCAATGAATTCTTAACTATGTGTATAGTATTTGGTATATAACAATCACTGGGGTATCCTATTGGCGCTATTCAATCGACAGCTATTGATTGCTAGTGGAGGGGATCTTAACTTACATGTATATATTTACCGGTTTGTAATTAGACTAATTATAATAATTTTGCAATTAAATAATAACAGTGGTTATTTTAACGCTTGTTTCATATGACCTGGTGTATGTATTACATTGCTTTGTAAGAGTTTCGGTGAAACTTTATAAAGGACTTTATTTGTAACATTATAAGACAGGTATGTTGTTATTTGTTCAGTGTCTCTTTGTCTCACTATGTTCTTTGTTTATCTCTGTCTTTCCAATCTCTATCAGCCTCTCCGTCTCTTTCTATTTCTTCTATCTCTATCTATTTCTTTTCCTTGTCTCTGTCTGTTTCTCCGTCTTCTCTTTGTGTTTATCTCTGATTCATTCAATCTCTCTCCTAACGGCGCAAGTATGTCAGTATGACACCCAGAACATATATATATATGTGTACGTTGCAAATCACATACACTTGTACACTTTACACGTGTTCAGGCAGCTAAAGCTAAATCACGATATGCATACATGAACTATTGATCCGGAATGATTTAAATATAAAACTATGTTTTTTTATGATCAATTCAAATAGCAAGAGCAAATATGTACACATCTCTTATCAAATTGCGACCGCTATATATGTAATAGATCATGGTTGTTTAATCGACCAGTTCATTAATCTGTTCTACGTAGAAACATACAAAACAAAGGAATCCCTTTAAGGAAGTACATACATTGATTTCCGTACACGGTTTATGTATAAAGCAAATACTTTTGGACTGTAGAAAGATGTGCAAACAATATATGCATGCTTATAACGTACATGCAATGAGTATCCAGCAGATATTGCAATTTATCCAGTTTAAAGAACAGAAAGCGGTTTCAGGAATTTGTTTTAACTCAAAGAAATGTTCAGCCTCAGATTTTTCACATGGCCAAGTAGTTAGGGTTTCTTTGGACTTACATGTACCGTCAGACATAGGATGTGACAACATTCGTATGATTAGAATCAATTTAGAAAAACATATATTTAACAATTTAATTACATAATTTGGTGCAGTTTTAAAATGCACTATAATTTATTTTGTACTAGAAACAATACAATTTTTTTCAGACCGTACAATGTACTACCTATGCAAGACCACACACTTGTGTTTTTCTAACGAATCAGAAAGCGCGAGTTTATTGCGCGGACGAATATATTCACGGGTGCGCGGTTCGTTAGAAAAACACAAGTGTGTGGTCTTGCTTTTATCACATACCTTCCGTATTTGGTAGAGATCGATACAAAGATTTTATAAACTTTGATATTTTTTTGCAAATACCGGGAACTTTTCAGTTCGCCATGACAAGGGGATTCCCATAAAATGTAGTTCCGGCTAGTAGGTAAATACAACATTCCGTATTGCACATGTCGTCAGTTACTGGTCGTATGGCAGTGGGTTTTTTTCAGGAAACTCAGACTTTCCTCCACCATTAAAAAATCCTTAAATGACCGTAGCTGTTAATATGACGTTAAACACAAACAAACCAAGCCTTCAGCGTCATGTCCATGCTTCCGTTGTAAAACGCTTCCTTCAGCATTATTGTTATGTCTTCAGTGTAAAACAATTGCCTTCAGTATAATAAGGACCTTGCTTTTGGTGAAAGACACTTGCCTTCAGAGTAAGACATTTGCAGGTAGCCTATAGGACGTGCATTATTATTTAGACACATGTCTTCTTTGGAAGACGATATTGGCTTCCTGTCCTTACAAAGCATGACTAATTGATTTACTTTATAATTGTCTTCTCAACATTCAGAATATCAATAAGTACCACTATACCTCACAGTGTATATATCAATAAGAGTAACCATACTTAGCACTATGCCTTTTTTACTACCAGAATAGATGGTGAGGTTATATGCAAATACACCGACACACTATAGAAGTACCAAGTAATATTCTAAACAAAAGAGCTATTGTCAAAATGGAACGGGAACTCCCTTGGGTAGAAAATCATAATTGTTGTTGTATTGTAAACAGACAAGTACACCAATATTTACATACCGTTCAATAGATCACTATAGACGTCAGTAATGAATACTGTAAAACATTCCTGATATTGCTATGCTAAACCTCGCTTAGGCCTCCTCTGACTGTTCAATAATTCCCCGATACACAAAACCTACAATTACATAGTTGTGACTATCTTTGTTAAATAAAAGTCCTCGCACAGTCTGTAGGGTATATGAATTATTCAAATATTGATCTGTTAACTTAGAATTTATACCTGTGAAATCGACGCCGTTTCACCTGATGTTCGTGTATCTCTGCCACAGTACATGTTGTACATCGTATATCGGCCACCAGTCTCCACCTAGGCTCGCAGATATAATGATACAGGTAACTTCTATCCGAGGTAAGATTCTACACAAATATCAAAACGATTCATTTCATATTATCAAATCTGAAAAAAATAAGAACATTAACCTATTGATTTTGCTATTCGTTACTTACAACGTAGTTTAAACGGAATGTTTTTTTTGTTTTTTTTTCTTTTTCATTTGGACCGTTGTTCCGTTTTTAGTTGTCGTGTTTTAAAACTACATACATTTGTATCACTGTTTTGGTTTGGTTGTACACATATTTCCAGTTGTGGATATTCTATTCTTTATTGTCTGGCCTGCACTGTTGCGTAATCTTTTGTATTGCCTGTACATTTGATTATGCTTATTCTGTCGGTAAGTAAACAGATACGTATTCGTTGTGTAATGTGTGTTAGACTTTGCTACTTATTAGTTATGTATGTAATATTCTTTTATATGCATTCTGTAATATGTTGCCATAACGTGTGTAATGTTTTAGAATATGTTTTCTACTTAATAGCCAAATGCGTAACAGATCTATATTCGTATTCGGGTATTATGTCCTACGTTTCCTATAGAACATAATTTACCAAGTTTATGGTTCATGTTAATAAGTCATGTATTGTGAATTATTAAAAACCGAGCACAACAAATGCAACAATGCTGCAAGTTCAAAACATTGCAATTTATATCAACAAAGATATATAGAGGATCTGTCATTTGTGTCCCTTCATATTAGATTTATGATAGAAGTTTTGGATTTTTCATCTTTGCGAGCCTCTGGTGAGAAATATGAAAATCCAAAACGAGTATCATCAATCTAATATAAAGGAAAATGAATGGCAGATTCTTGTTATCATAATTATTATAAAAAGTAAACTGTATAATTGTGATCTGAAAGGAATATTTTGCACTTGGCCGCTTCTGAAACGATGAAAATTGCGTCCACTTCACAATGACGTGACGTCACATTGATTGTTTCTATTCGATTGTGACGTCATTTCCGAAGTGATATTACACACGTTACATAAACGTAATTTATGTGATGGCTTCAGGACACTACATAACACTGTATTCATGTGATAAAAAACCCACATTTATGCATACACCAACAGTACAGATATCCGTGTTTAAAGTGATTTTCCCAAACAAATTATCCCAAATGGCATATTTTGAGATAAGTGTGTACCCTGAAACCAGATGAAGAGTATTACTGGAATAAGGTTATTTCTGTCTGCCAGTAGGCACACTGTTCTCAACTTAGCTCGTCGACTTCTGAACCGATTTGAATCAAACCTAACCTTGTACACACCTGAGAACCCGAGGGAATGTAGCCTTTTGCTAAATGAGGTTTTAATTCTCAATAATTAGGTCAATTATTATTTAGTATCTGTACAACCAAATAAACCGTTGCTTGTGTGGCTGACATGCTATTTATACCGATATTGAGAGCGTTATTGTCCTGTATCCTCTAGCATATTGAACACACATCCTAAATGATGTAGAAGTTGTTTATCATCGAAACTTTTCGCGTATCTTTCAAACGACCAGATGACAGTTAATTTAAATTTTGCTATTTCAAACTGAATCAATTGATACGTGTGCATGTAAAGTTACATATTTTATTCAGGTTCAAGTTATTTCATTAAGCACAATTTTCCTATAGACTGATTTTATTATTGACCTCGGTAGAATGTTTTGTATGTAGGTATAAGCTGACGTGAATTGCCCTCGGTGACCTCGGGGATAAGTTAATTACAATTTTACACCTACATGTCAACTGGAAATATTTCATGTTAAAAGTCGATTTCTAACGCCTCATCTGATACAATGAGGTGAAGAAGTCGGTATACAATCAAATAAACACCCTAATACAGGTTACGTCCACACGAGTAAACACAAGCCTTCATCGCGATACCCATACACTAACAATTCGAGTACAATCCTCAAATGTATAGCTAAATCCTTTCTTGTGAACTCTAGATAGATCGGCTATACAATGTACGTACTTTCTTTAGACAAGAACGCAACCCGTTGAAAGCCAAACATGATATACATTTTTGCTAGTTTGAACATTTTGATACATGCGAATGGAGTGTATGTATGCTGTAAAATCCGAACGCATGGTTCAACTCATTAATAACAAAAGACAACATGCATGCCTCCTCCTTTTGAACTTGCTACATTTATATACTTTGATGGTCTTTTAATTTGAAATTTTTGAAGTGTGCATTGCCACTTTAAATTACCAAGTCGGTATTCGTAATCGATTCAATATAAACACATAACATGTATAAAAGTAAAAACGTTCGATTCTCTTTTACTCTGGGCTAAATAACTTTCATTTTCCTGACAATTTCAGGCTTAAAACGTCATTGTGTGTTGTTATAGATGGTTTACGCTGTTTATTACATAAAATTTGGAACCTTTTTTCTCTCTGCTTTTACGCAGAGAAAATAAAACAGGTTTGATTGATCAAAAGTATGGAATATTGCAGCAGTCATGACGCTAGTAAATAAAAAGCATGTTGCTAACACGACAATCCAATTTGTACAAAAAGTGAAGCCCAAACTCTTGCAGTAGAGCTCGTTTATCAGTTAAGTCAGACCATTACAAACTCATAGTGTTGTGAGGAGTAACGTCGATTGTAAGCTCTTAACGGAGTTTAAAGGCCTATTTTTTGTTTTCAATATATTCCCCTAGTGAGGGTATCATTTGTTTGTATTTATGATTTGACTATTTTCGACATGCTAGAAGTGATATTGTAAAGGTCAGCAGTATTGGGAACGTGTTGATTTCATAACAGAACATGTAGAGAGCCTGATACATTTACGCCTTTTGGTGTCCGCTTTACGCAATTCTGAATATGCTTTTCGTTAAAACCTTCGGGTGTTTTTTTTTTTTTTTTTTTTTTTTTTTTTTGGGGGGGGGGGGGGGCACACAGTTTAGACAGAAAGAGTTGATAATGAGTACCGTTGCCTGAGAAAGGTGATAAATATGATGCTTATAATTACATAGTAGACTTCACACTAATGAGTCATAAAACCAGCTCGGTTGCCACACACTATAAAAGGCTGTACTTACGGAGGTGCAGTGTCGTTTTAAACAAGTTGTGGTACCAGATTTTACCAATACCTAATGTAAAAGAAAGTTAGACTATTTGTAGACTATCGGAAGCACTGTTATATACATAAAACTATTTAACAAAGATTTTGTTTCGGAGAGGCTCATATATTTCAAAACATTCTCGACAATTCCATACATTATTATATAAAACAATGCAAGGTAAGACCAACATTTCAATCCGAGCTATACATTTGTAGCAACGATTACATGAGAAAACCATTAAAAACCATTATGAATCGATATTCAAATAAATTCTATGGAGATAAAAGGTATGAGTTTATTATCTATATCAATACAATATGAATCAAAACCTACTGCACAGTATACGTGAGTACTTAACGAGTTTTTCTTGTTATTTAATCTGTGACATAAACACACGGTGTAGACTCAATATATCATGATATTTAATGTATAGATATTAACGGGAGAGATCCTGTTTAATTTCAATATGATGAATTTATCAATGATATTCACGTATGTACATGTGCATGAATGGACACTGATGAATTACAATATTAACCCGTGTTGTTTACAATTGTATGTCCACGTGCAAGTCTGGTGTAAGTTTTAAAATGAATTTATATCTTTACAAAAGAAACATGCAAAAACAGTTTATTTAAATCATGTGTGAAATCCGATTTAAAGGTATCACCTGACCGTGAATGTGTTCTGTTGATTGTTAAAGAATAACGATTTAAGAGAATTTGAACGGGGATAAGCCGTCCGGATTAGCTAACAAATAAAACTACCCCACTTTAGACTAGCCTAGCTCACATATCAAATGTGTGGTGCGCTTAACGAAATAAACCTATCATATTTTATGTTAATATTGTTCATCTATTTGTATTGTTGCAAAGTGATTTGTTACACTTTTCAAGTCTTTAATCAACGGTGTAGACGATACAGCCGTTTACGTTGTTATCACATAGCAAAATAAATGACATTGTATATATGTTTTATATGCAGTGTTATTGGTTAGAGCTACCCAATGGTTGGTAGGGAACTGCCCGCTTACGTTACGTCTGAGCGCTGTGTTTGTGACGGCTGTGTATTAGCCGTACCATTGTACAGTAACATACATTTCAACGCAACATGTTTAAATTATAGTTATGTTGATACCACGAGGAGATACATCGGGGATTATATTTCTACATAAACTCTGTATTTAATGAATTGATGTGCGCGTGAAGTTCTTGGATTATGCATGTGACGACTTTGAAATTACAAAGAAAGTCTACGGGTACGTGATTTGATAGTTACATTTACATATATTGGACATCAAATGGAAATATTCTGAAACTTGGTATTTCATTGGTCTCGTTTTGTTATTATTGTACGAGGTATTGCATGTATATGTATATCTATTACTGTATGACATTGATAATTTCTATATGTTGTTAGGGCGTTTGTGTGTTCATCATCGGTCAGTTGATATTTTAGGAAAGATGCTTGATGATGAATGTACTTTCTGTAAAAAAGAATGAAATGGACGACCCCCCACCCCCACCCCNAATAGAAGCGTCAAACGTGAGATATATATTAGTTCGTTTACTTACATGAAAGTAGTTCAAATATAAATAGGCATAGTTTGATGTTTGGAATTAGATCATTAAATAAATGATACCTGGTCCATTACATTATTTATGTGAGAGAGAAATAATCCCGAAAGACGAACAAAATGATCGACTAAACTGTTATTTTCTAAACTTTTAACAGCAAACGACGCTATGGGTGTTCATCGAATATAGATAAAGGGAGGTAACTACAACTAATATTTCATTTCATATTTGTTGATTCAGAGTATCCACGAGGGGGAAGGGGGCATTCTTTGACTTAATTGTTTTAATTTCAATGGATGGTTTCATTCGATCTTATAAATTATCTTTTCATATATCCCCTGCCGTCGGGAGTCGGATTCACTCCGTTAAACGTCCCGCATAAACTCCATATGGTTACAAAACATTTGCATGCTGTCAATGCATAATTAATGAAAAGATTCTTTGATATTTATTTAGCAATGTTCATGGCTATTTCAGACTTTGTGCGGCGACAAGATCGGGAAATGAAGAGAAAGAAAAGGGCGGGAAAAACGGATCAGCCGCAGGTACAGAATCTCGATATATACCAGCCCAATAGTGTTCAGGAGGAGGTTCGCGACTTCGGTCTCTATGGCAACCTCAGGAAAGCGGATACGGAAGTTAGAAATCCACTTCCGTCACCAGAATGTAAGTTTTGGATTTAATTTCTCTGGAGGCTATCAAATAGTCATTGTCTCACAGATATTCAATGAAATGAGCAAAGCATATTCACTGTATGACTGGGATGCACTTACAATTGTATATTTGTAGTTGGCAACACAGTTCCATTCAAACATATTCCCAAAATGTTGACTGTAGCAATTGATCTTTTGCACTGTTCCCTCAGGAAAAAGTAATGATATAATAATACGTAGTCGAACAAAAGAATAAAGGGAAGTAATGAACTCGGAGACTGATTCTCCTACAGTTGACGTCGAACTCCTGTATATTTCGTTAGTTGATAAACAATGTATTGCTCATTTTGTAAGCCGCAAAACGTACTGTCTTTACTTACCTCACAGCGAAATTCCCGTCACAATACCAGACGATGTCAATGTCAAAGACGTCATTCGATTAAGGAAACGTGATTATGCTATAATTTATATTGCACATACAGGTATGAAGACAAGTTCTTCGTCAAACGATTTTTTTTCTTGTTTAAACGACATTTCTTCTCTGATGTGCGATAGAAAATATCAAATAGTGATAATAAGCAAAGAAAATATGTATCTCAAATATATATTTATTTACAAACATCAGGACTGGTCAAATTGGTTACTAATAAAGAGGTAAAACTGTGCTTGTTTCCATCTGTTTCAGTGATCGATCGTGAAAAGCACGTGCTTGAGTTTGATAAACAGAGGAGGAAGAAACCCCATGATGTGCATTACAAGGCTTTTTACCGGTACCTGTCCCCCGCCTTGTCGGAACACTACGCGGTAATACCAAAAAGTTTACCAAGTAGTGCTAGTACTACGGGGAACAGAACAAGCTGAGAGTGGATCACGGACCAGTACTGTCATATCAAACTGAAACGTCTTTGTTGTCATATGTGCCAGGCGCGGGTGTTCAAATATAAGTTATTACGGATTAGGCTTGCGCCAAGCGCGGGGAATAAATTAAGTTGACTGATATGGTACTGAAGTATCTTAATTGAGAAAAGCAGTAACGATGGTGACTGATTCAAGAACCTACCTACATGATGGATATCTTTAACACATAGGTTAGATGTTGTTCTGAACGTAAACATTGTTCTGATAGCATTGCACATCATAGGCTTATAGTTTACCTAATGTCTCTTGACGTTAGACTATGATGTGATTCTGCTTAGCCGAGTTGGGGCTATGTGGGATGGGATACCATACAGCTTCTAACGACCAGACAGCGGCCGGGTACAGTATCAATTAATATATGTACTTATTTGGGATATATACTTATCGCGATCTGTTGTTCAGTATTTTTTACACCGCCAAGACGTTTTAAGGAGGATGTCATCACGTTCGCCGTGGTCTTCTTCTACATCAGTGGGAAAAGACATTTGTTGAACCATCTTTACACGGGAAGGCGCTCTAGTCATGCCACTTTAATCACGTATACATATGAAATGTAATGACGTTTGTTTCTGTTAGGAGACGGAGCTACTGTGTGTCTGACGTATATTTTGGCGCTTCAGTCAAAAAAGTAGAGTCAATGCAATGTACATAAACACAGGAGTTCATTCTGTGGGAAGATTAAGAACAATTACATGTAGCAGGAACAATGTGTCTTGTTGTGAAATACTGCACGGAGATTGATGAAAGATAACTACACATGTACAATTGTAGAACTGTTCAGTTTTTATTATTTGAAAAATTAATCATCAGCATTGTTTGTTTGAAATAAGGCCTAGCTTGCAAACACCATATAAGTTTACCGAGTCCAAAGCACATTTTTCTTTTAATATTTAAATTTTGAAAATTGTCTGAAAAAAACCTGCTTTTAACCATTTAATCATTTTACATATAAACCCTTTTTGCATAAGGTTATATTTTGAATTCCAATCATTTGGTGAAACTACTGGTTTAAGGTTTTATGCTCAATAGTTATTGAACACATGGCCCCTGTATAGGTCTTGTTACATAGTCCTAGCTACCAGCTAACAGAGTCGTCTATGCAAAATTGAGAATTACATTGTTATCAAAGGTAAGGTATTTTTTTATGATAATTTTGAAATCTGTTCATGAAATTTGATCTTTACATTTACAACATGAAAACATTCTACACTTGTACATGTATGACATATTTTAGTTTACGTTATATAAATTAAGTTAGCCAGACCTTGGACACAGACATTGTCTCCATCCTGGTTATATATCTAAAGGACAATAAATGTATATTGTTCTGCGAATAAATTCGTCCTCAAATGACCTTACATATTGTAGATGTTCTAGGACGCTAAACCAACACTTTTAAGCTACGTCTGTAAAGCATGTTGTGTTATCACGTGCATCTGTGTTTTCTTACATAATAAATGCATTGTTATCTAAGTATGTCTGTTATTATTTTGTTTTTGTTTTTGTGTTCTTTTGTATGAAGTTATCATATAAGTTTGTCCCTAACAGAAAGACTTTTCAAATTAAAAAAGAGCCGGAAGATATGTGTAAACCAATGTCCTCACTTTCACAGAAAGAGTGTGGTTGTGGTGGTCGTAGGATGTGGTGTTTGTGTAGGTTGTATACTATGGAGGTTGTGTTGGTTGTACAGTGAGTTGGTTGTAGAGTGTGGTGTTTGTGGAGATTGTATACTGTGGAGATTGTGTTGGTTGTCGCGTGTGGTGGTTGTAGAGTGTGGTGTTTGTGCAGATTGTATACTGTGGAGATTGTGTTGGTTGTCGCGTGTGGTGGTTGTAGAGTGTGGTGTTTGTGAAGGTTGTATACTATGTAGGTTGTGTTGGTTTGAGGTTGTGTTGGTTGTAGAGTATGTTGGTTGTAGAGTGTGGTGTTTGTGTAGATTGTATACTGTGGAGATTGTGTTGGTTGTAGAGTGTGGTGGTTGTAGAGTGTGGTGTTTGTGAAGGTTGTATACTATGGAGGTTGTGTTGGTTGTAGAGTGTGTTGGTTGTAGAGTATGTTGGTTGTAGAGTGTGGTGTTTGTGTATATTGTATATTGTGGAGGTTGTGTTGGTTGTAGAGTGTCGTGGTTGTAGAGTGTTGCGTTTGTGAAGGTTGTATACTATGGAGGTTGTGTTGGTTATAGAGTGTGTTGGTTGTAGAGCATGTTGGTTGTAGAGTGTGGTGTTTGTGTATATTGTATATTGTGGAGGTTGTGTTGGTTGTAGAGTGTGGTGTATATTGTGGAGGTTGTGTTGGTTGTAGAGTGTCGTGGGTGTAGAGTGTTGTGTTTGTGAAGGTTGTATACTATGGAGGATGTGTTGGTTGTAGAGTGTGTTGGTTGTAGAGAGTGTTGGTTGTAGAGTGTGGTGTTGTAGAGTGTGGTGTTTGTGAAGGTTGTATACTATGTAGGTTGTGTTGGTTGCAGGTTGTGTTGGTTGTAGAGTATGTTGGTTGTAGAGTGTGGTGTATGTGTAGATTGTATACTGTCGAGGTTGTGTTGGTTGTAGAGTGTGGTGGTTGTAGAGTGTGGTGTTTGTGAAGGTTGTATACTATGGAGGTTGTGTTGGTTATAGAGTGTGTTGGTTGTAGAGCATGTTGGTTGTAGAGTGTGGTGTTTGTGTATATTGTATACTGTGGAGGTTGTGTTGGTTGTAGAGTGTCGTGGTTGTAGAGTGTTGTGTTTGTGAAGGTTGTATACTATGGAGGTTGTGTTGGATGTAGAGTGTGTTGGTTGTAGATTATGTTGGTTGTGGAGTGTGGTGTTTGTGTAGATTGTATACTGTGGAGGTTGTGTTGGTTGTAGTTGTGTTGGTTGTAGAGTGTGTTGGTTGTATATTATGTTGGTTGTAGAGTGTGGTGTTTGTGAAGGTTGTATGCTATGGAGGTTGTGTTGGTTATAGAGTGTGTTGGTTGTAGAGCAGGTTGGTTGTAGAGGGTGGTGTTTGTGTATATTGTATACTGTGGAGGTTGTGTTGTTTGTAGAGTGTCGTGGTTGTAGAGTGTTGTGTTTGTGAAGGTTGTATACTATGGAGGTTGTGTTGGTTGTAGAGTGTGTTGGTTGTAGATTATGTTGGTTGTAGAGTGTGGTGTTTGTGTAGATTGTATACTGTGGAGGTTGTGTTGGTTGTAGAGAGTGTTGATTGTAGAGTGTGGTGTTTGTGTAGGTTGTTTAGTATGGAGGTTGTGTTGGTTGTAGAGCGTGTTGGTTGTAGAGCGTGGTGTTTGTGAAGGTTGTATACTATGGGGGCTGTGTTGGTTGTAGGGTGTGTTGGTTGTAGAGAGTGTTGGTTGTAGAGTGTGGTGTTGTAGAATGTGGTGTTTGTGTAGGTTGTATACTATGGAGGATGTTGTGTTTGTAGAGTGTGTTGGTTGTAAAGTGTGGTGTTTGTGTAGGTTGTTTACTATGGAGGTTGTGTTGGTTGTAGAGTGTGGTGTTTGTGTAGGTTGTATACTATGGATGTTGTGTTGGTTGTAGAGTGTGGTGTTTGTGTAGGTTGTATATTATGGAGGTTGTGTTGGTTGTAGAGTGTGTTGGTTGTAAAGTGTGGTGTTTGTGAAGGTTGTATACTATGGAGGTTGTGTTGGTTGTAGAGAGTGTTGGTTGTAGAGTGTGATGTTTGTGTGGATTGTATACTATGGAGGTTGTGTTGGTTGTAAGAGAGTTTTGGTTGTAGAGTGTGGTGTTTGTGTAGGTTGTATACTATGGAGGTTGTGTTGGTTGTAGAGTGTGGTGTTTGTGTAGGTTGTATATTATGGAGGTTGTGTTGGTTGTAGAGTGTGTTGGTTGTAGAGTGTGGTGTTTGTGAAGGTTGTATACTATGGAGGTTGTGTTGGTTGTAGAGTGTGTTGGTTGTAGAGTGTGGTGTTTGTGTAGGTTGTATACTATGGAGGTTGTGTAGATTGTATACTGTGGAGGTTGTGTTGGTTGTAGAGTGTGGTGGTTGTAGAATGTGGTGTTTGTGTATGTTGTATACTGTGGAGGTCGTGTTGGTTGTAGACTGTGGTGGTTGTAGATTGCGGTGGTTGTAAAGTGTGTTGGTTGTAGAGTTTGGTAGTTGTAGAGTGTGGTGGTTGTAGATTGTGGTGTTTGTGTAGGTTGTATACTATGGAGGTTGTGTTGGTTGTAAAGTGTGGTGTTGTAGAATGTGATGAATGTGGTGTTTGTGTAGGTTGTATACTGTGGAGGTTGTGTTTGTTGTAGAGTGTGGTGGTTGTAGAGTGTGGTGTTTGTGTAGGTTGTATATTGGGGAGGTCATGTTGGTTATAGAGTGGTGTTTGTGTAGGTTGTATATTGTTGAGGTCGTGTTGGTTGTATAGTGTGTTGGTTGTAGAGTGTGTTGGTTGTAAAGTGTGTTGGTTGTAAAGTGTGGTTGTAGAGTGTGGTGTTTGTGTAGGTTGTTTATTGTGGAGGTCGTGTTGGTTGTAGAGTGTGTTGGTTGTAGAGTGTGTTGGTTGTAGAGTGTGTTGGTTGTGTAGGTTGTATATTGGGGAGGTCATGTTGGTTGTAGAGTGGTGTTTGTGTAGGTTGTATATTGTTGAGGTCGTGTTGGTTGTATAGTGTGTTGGTTGAAGAGTGTGTTGGTTGTAAAGTGTGTTGGTTGTAAAGTGTGGTTGTAGAGTGTGGTGTTTGTGTAGGTTGTTTATTGTGGAGGTCGTGTTGGTTGTAGAGTGTGTTGGTTTTAAAGTGTGGTGGTTGTAGAGTGTGCTGTTTGTAGAGTGTGGTGTTTGTAGAGTGTGGTAGTTTTAGAGTGTGGTGTTGGTTATGGTGGTTGTGTAGAGTGTGTTGGTTGTATGGTTGTAGAGTGTGGTGGTTGTAGAGTGTGGTGTTTGTGTAGGTTGTATACTTTGGAGGTTGTGTTGGTTGTAGATTGTGGTGGTTTTAGAGTGTGGTGTTTGAGGAGGTTGTATACTGTGGAGGTTGTGTTGGTTGTAGAGTGTGTTGGTTGTAGAGTGTGGTGTTTGTGTAGGTTGTATACTGTTGAGGTTGTGTTGGTTGGAGAGGGTGTTGGTTGTAGAGAATGTTGGTTGTAGAGTGTGGTGGTTGTAGAGTGTGGTGTTTGTGTAGGTTGTATACTGTTGAGGTTGTGTTGGTTGGAGAGTGTGTTGGTTGTAGAGAATGTTGGTTGTAGAGTGTGGTGGTTGTAGAGTGTGGTGTTTGTGTACGTTGTATACTGTTGAGGTTGTGTTCGTTGGAGAGTGTGTTGGTTGTAGAGATTGTTGGTTGTTGAGTGTGTTGGTTGTAGTTTGTGTTGGTTGTAGAGTGTGGTAGTTGTAGAGTGTGGTGGTTGTAAAGTGTGTTGGTTGTAAAGTGTGGTTTTTGTGTAGGTTGTATACTATGGAGGGTGTGTTGGTTGTAGAGAGTGCTGGTTGTAGAGTGTGATGTTTGTGTACGTTGTATACTATGGAGGTTGTGTTGGTTGTAGAGTGTGTTGGTTGTAGAGTGTGTAGGTTGTATACTGTGGTGTTTGTGTAGATTGTAAACTGTGGAGGTTGTGTTGGTTGTAGAGTGTCGTGGTTGTAAAGTGTTGTGTTTGTGTAGGTTGTATACTGTTGAGGTTGTGTTGGTTGTAGAGTGTGGTGTTGTAGAATGTGGTGTTTTTGTATGTTGTATACTGTGGAGGTTTTGTTGGTTGTAGAGTGTGGTAGTTGTAGAGTGTGGTGGTTGTAAAGTGTGTTGGTTGTAGAGTTTTGTAGTTATAGAGTGTGGTGGTTGTAGATTGTGGTGTTTGTGTAGGTTGTATATTTTGGAGGTTGTGTTTGTTGTAGAGTGTGTTTGTTGTAGAGTGTGGTGGGTGTAGAGTGTGGTGTTTGTTTAGGTTGTATACTGTGGAGGTTGTGTTGTTTGTAGTGTGTGGTGGTTGTAGAGTGTGGTGTTTGTGTAGGTTGTATATTGTGGAGGTCGTGTTGGTTGTAGAGTGGTGTTTGTGTAGGTTGTATATTGTTGAGGTCGTGTTGGTTGTATAGTGTGTTGGTTGTAGAGTGTGTTGGTTGTAAAGTGTGTTGGTTGTAAAACGTGGTTGTAGAGTGTGGTGTTTGTGTAGGTTGTATATTGTGGAGGTCGTGTTGGTTGTAGAGTGTGTTGGTTATAAAGTGTGGTGGTTGTAGAGTGTGGTGTTTGTAGAGTGTGGTAGTTGTAGAGTGTGGTGTTGATTATGGTGGTTGTGTAGAGTGTGTTGGTTGTATGGTTGTATGGTTGTAGAGTGTGGTGGTTGTAGAGTGTGGTGTTTGTGTAGGTTGTATACTTTGGAGGTTGTGTTGGTTGTAGATTGAGGTGGTTGTAGAGTGTGGTGTTTGTGGAGGTTGTATACTGTGGAGGTTGTGTTGGTTGTAGAGTGTGGTGGTTGTAGAGTGTGGTGGTTGTAGAATGTGGTGTTTGTGTAGGCTGTATACTCTGGAGGTCGTGTTGGTTGTAGAGTGTAGTGGTTGTAGATTGC